GTCTGCCCGTCCGCAGCCGCTGAACTCGGCTGGGCTGCGAGCCTCCGCCGCGCGCCGCTGACGTCCGAGGCGGCTGCTTGGTCCTCGGCTGGGGTCAGCCGACGCCCGCGGGCTGGCACTTAAGAAAGCGCAGCCCCCGAGGGTGAACCCAATCGCCGGGCCCCCGCGCCAGTAGGCCCCGCCCCCGCCTCCAAGTCCCCTCCTTTTAATCACCAGTAAGTGGTTCTGTTCGAGTGCAGCCAGGGGCGGAACAAAGACCTGACAAAGGACAAGAAAATAGAAAAACCCGTGCTTGGCTGCTGATCAAGTTCTCTGATGGGCTCTGCCTCCTTGATAATGAAATCTGGAGACCCAGGCACGTAAGAGAGAGAAAAGCGTATCTGCGCACGCACAAACATCACGCACACTGTTCAAACAGCCTGCAGCCCCGAGCATCGGGAGGGGTGCCTGTTTTAATTGGAGGGGCTCTCTAACAGCAAGACGCAATATCGGCCTTAATTTACAGAGAATTTTTAAATAACATTTTTATGTTCGGACTTAAAGTAGTAATAATACTACTGGTGAGGTTTGAGCCAGGTCTTGAGAGCAACTGCTTGTGGCTTGTGCATTTTTCCTCTGATTCTCACAGCGGAGCCGTGGCAGAGACTGTTAGCTCGATTTTTATATATGAGGAATCTGAGGCACAGGGAAATCTCTGCTTCAAACCCACGAGTACTTGGCTGAACGTGATACAGTGTTAAGGCGTGTAAAGCACTCTACTAAGAAAAGTCTCCATGAAAAATGTGTATTTTGGAAGTTATTGGCAGACAGGGAGAGGATATTTCAGTGGCCACAGATTTATGAAGTGTTTTAAGTATAGCACTGGGGTTAGGATTAAAGCACTGAAAGAAATATGGTGGTGAGAGTCCCTGCTTTAAGACAGGCTTATCCCCCAACAAATCAAATGCAGTTTTTGGGAATGTTGACTCAACAACTTCAAATCAGTCACTAGATGCATCTACAAAAGAAAGGGACCTCTCTGCCTACCAAGGAGACAGAGCCACTGGAGAAGGCATCTGGCCGTCTGGAGTGACCACAGTCATAGCCAGTTGAGCTGTAAAAGCCAACAGTGGGAATTTCTAGGCTGAAGTCTTAGCACAGGGTTAGTCCATGTGGAGACAAGATCCTAGAGCGAATTCTTCCTCCTGGAAACTTGTCCCTACCCCCTTTTGTGACACTAGAGGAGACTAAGTGACTTCCATTTCCCAATGGTGAACTGAGCTTGCGTGTTTACCTTTTCTCCTCCCCAAATCTCATGAAAATGATTGAGAATATGAAGAATAGGACTAAATTCACAGCACATTGCATTCTTAATCGCAAATAATTGATATCTTCTCCACTAGACCATAAAGTCCATCAGGGCAGTGCTTCTACAAGCATTTAGGAAAATAATATATCCTCATACTTTCCAAAACAGTAAACCCAAGAAAACAATGCAGTAATATCTGTAGAGCTTTGCAAGAAGTGGGATGTGACCAAAAATATTCCACATTTTCATTTAGGCTTATGGAACCAAAAGCAAGATAAGCAGATAAACAATGGAACAGGCTACTCAAATTCTTCGGTTAAATGAGTATACCCAGGGAAGTCATGTGGAGAAACAGATGAGATAAGGAGGAGGCACTGTGGAACCTTTACATTCAGCGCAGGATGAGATAAGCCAAGAACACAAATGGCAGAGGATGAGCTGAAGCCCAACTCTGCAGGCACCACTCCGATTTGCCCCCTCCTATGTTAATGATATTAAAATCCATAATCAAATTAAATAAGCAGTAATTAGAGGCAGGCCGACTCATCCGACTCACTCCTCTTGGGGCTTTGGAAAGGATATGGGCAACGATTGGTGCAGTGTGTGAAGAGTGAAAAGCCGAAAGAGATGGGCTTGGGCTGTAAATCAGCAGGGATATGCTAACCTGTAGCCTCAAGGACTTCTTGGGGCTTGTACACCTGTTGTCTCTTCTGCTTGTGTGGTTATTGTTGATGTAAAGAAATCAGATGTTCTTGCCTCCCCTCTTCTTTCTGATCTCCTTGACTATTTAGGGGAAAACCCCAGGATTAGGAAACAGAGCTCATTCTCCAGGTGTGGGGATGTTGGCAAGCTGGTGTGGGTCACTAGGCTTCCGCCGTTGCCTCGCCTTTACTCTTGCTTCCACCAAAGACAATTTGGCCCACCCAGAGGGGAGAAAATACATAGAAGGGAAAGACAACAACACAGATGGAAAATATGCCATTTTTGGGAAAATAAATTTAGAGGCTTCTTGCACACCATACACCAAAACTAATTCCAGGTGGATTAAAGAGATGATGATGATGATGATGATGATGATAATAATAATAATAATAATAATAATAATAATAATAATAATAATAATACAATAAAATACTGGAGAAAATATTAGCTAGTATTTATCTCATCTTTGGACAGGAAAATCTTCCTAAGCAAAAAAGTAACAGAAAAAAAATCATAATGGGAAGCTCAGGAGATATGGCTACATAAACATTTTAAACTTTGGAACAGTAAAAAAGAGCATTAAAAATTAAAAGCAAATTACAAAATAAGAAAAAATATTTGCAACATATATAAAACCAAGAGCTAATATCGTTAGTTTATAAAACAGTTTTACAAATTAACAAGGACGAACATGGAAAAAAAGGCAAAAGATGTGACTAGACACACCAGATCACAAAAGAGGAATGACCAAAGAAATTAAATTGAAGCAATTAGATGTCATTTTTCCACTGTGGGAGAAGACTGAAATAAATGATGGTACATTATGATGGCAAGGATACTATCAACTGGGCATCATCCTGCTCGTGGTGTAGCCTTTCTAGAAGAAAACCAGGTAGTAGATGACAGTAGTCCTAAAAATGTGCATCTCCTTTGACCCAGTAATTCTATTTCTAGCTGTTTATCCTAAGGAAACAATCAGGGAATTAAAAAGAGAGAGAGAGAGAGCTACATTGAGTGCTTATGTACAGGACAATCTACTAAGCTTTTAATCATGGACCATCTCATTTCACCTTTATAATAGGCTTATTGAGCTTAGAAATTCACCAAGTCACCCCCAGGTAGGTTTAGAGCCCGGCTTTGAACCCAAGCTTTTGGATCCCAAAACCTGCCCTCCTAAACTGGATGGGATACAGTTAAACTAAATACGAGTGTACTAATACAAGAGACTGCTCGGCAGATGCTAACACGTTCACAATCAGAATTCCTGATGTGGAGTCCATGGATGAATCTGAGAACCTCCTGAAATAATGTATCTTTTCTGTATATGTACATTTCTTCCCCTGAAATGTGACTACATGACTCTTTTCAAGTTCCTAAGAAGATCCATGACCCATTTAGAGGAATATTTAATGACAAGGGAGAAATTCTTGTGACACAATCTTAAGTAATGAAACAATTTAGAAAGCTATAAACACATATACACATATACTTATATTCTAGTAAATATATTAAATATATTCATGTAAATTTAGAGGGAATTTCTTCAATGTGTATTATCTGAGAGGTAGTACTAAAAGTAATTTTTATTTCCTTCCTTGTGTTTTACTGTGTTTTCCAAGTTTCTGCCATAGATATATTTTATAATCAGAAAAATATAAATGTTATTTTCGTAAGTATAAAATCCAGAGGCAAAATACATTCCACAAGTATCAAAGAGTAAATCATCTAATCAATCCATAAGCCATAGGTTGATAGAAAAAAATAGACAAAAGACACACTTTACAATAAACAACTTATATTCTATTTATTAAATAGGAAAAGTTTTACTTCACTAATAGTCAAACACAAAATATGAAACTTCAAAAAAGTCAAATAGAATCTCAAAGGGACAACACTTAATGGTGGAAATGCAATAAAAGAAGCAGTCAGACACCTTCAGTGGTGGTGGGGTACTTGACACAACTTCTGAGGAAAGCAATTTGATAATACAATCTTCCTGGACACTTTTTAAAAAAATTATGATTATTGCAATCAAAGTGCCAGAAATCCTAACTCAAATTGGTTTAAGCCAAAAGGGGAGTTTAGTGACTCATGAGAATGAAAAATCTCCTGGTGTGGCTGGCTCCTGGGTTAAAATGAGGACTGGGTTTCTGTCCACTTCTCAGCTTTGCTTTCTTCTATGTCATCTTCATTTTCAAGTTCACTTTCTCCCTAAGGGGGGCCAAACAAGTCCAGAAATATCCATCAGCTTAGAACCACCCATGGAAAGAGAATGCTTACTTCCCAATAATCTTCATAAAAGTCCTGGGAAGAATTTGACCCAGGCAGGGGAACTGTGCCCATCCTTCAGCCACAATATGGAATGCTCTCCCTCGAGCTTGATGGTCTTCCCTATTCAAGACCCACAAACTCAGATTTGGGCAAGGGATTCCGCAAAGTTACAGTGGGTGCTGTTAACAGAAGAAGGAAAAATGGATGTCAGGCAGGTAGAAACAATAAGGTACTCACTCTGCTGACTTGGAGAAATCATCTGAATTGCAGACAATTTACGCACGAAGCTAAAATAAGACTGTAGCAACAGAAAAAAATTAGAAATAACCTAAATATCCAGCAATATGCAAGTTGAGTAAATCATGCTTTACTCATATAATGGAATAGTATGCAACAATTAAAAAGCTTAATAATCTGATGTGAAGAAAATAAATTCTATAGCAGGATGCATAGTTTGGCCCCAATTTCTTTAAAAAATATTTATAGACTTTCATTCAAAAATATTAGACCAATATATACAAGATATATTGAATGAGGGGTGATTTTTGTATTCTTGTATTTGCTTTATCTCCACTCTCAACACCACCACCCCCTCAAAGAAACTGAAACTGCCAAACAAGTATATTGAGTATATAGTAATTTACTGTGTTCTAAGTAATAAAATAGGTAAGTTTTCTAAATTCATTGAAGCAACTTGAATTACAATAGTGTTTGGCCACTTTTTTTTGAAAGGAATCAGGAAGATTTTCTTTTAATGGAATCAAACAGGAGAGTTGATTGGAATGTTCTTCTCAGCTGCTTTGTATCTAAAAGCAACATGGCCCGATGATTATGCCTGATTTATATAATTAAGCCTACTTTTCAGGATAAATGTCAATTTCTAACAGCATTAATTATACTTCAGTAACTAATGACAGATGTAATCAGGGACTATCTTCTGTCCAAAAAAGCATGCCACACTTAAAATGCTGATCTGCAATAAATATTTCCCCACCTTTCCAAAGCAGAGGTTCCTATGAAACCTTTGATAAACCAAAATGGCACAAAGCAAAGAAGCAATTGCCTTAGCTCACATCTTGCTAACGGATGCACAGAAGCAGCTGAGATAAAGCACAGATGCTCAGACATAGTTCAAAGCTATGGCGACTTAATGCTGAGATGCTGAGTGTAGTTCCAGGGGAAGGAGTTTGGCGGTGCCACTCTCACCGCTTGGGGTGCATGTTGCCTCTGTAAGGGCTGCTGCAAAACTAATACTCTTTCCACTTTTCATCTCTTGTAAAAGTGAATATCGCCTTCTAACTTCTTTTAGTTAGCGAAAGACTAATATGTAGGTCTTCTGTAAAAGCAAAGTAGTGTAAAGTGAACTCTGCAAAAAATGGGGGATACCTGTATTACATTTATATAACTGGCATGAAAGTCTGAATATTTTGAGCCTGGGAGGGCCTGCCTGGATTGTCACTCCAGGCACACTAAAACTTGCTCAGGAATGTCTGGGTAGCCTGGTGGACCCAGCAGGCAGAGGTCATGTCTGTGGAAGACTTACTGGTAGAGTTGCCAGATATACCAAATAAAAATACAGGATGCCCAGTCAAATTTGAATTTCAAATAAACAGCAGTAAAGTTTTTAGGATAAAGACGTCAAATATTTCATCAGGCAACCTTAGCTGGAGAAAGAGGATGGTTAGAAAACTAAAATGGAGCGGGGGCCTCTGGGGCTAAGAGCCATTAGGAAGCAACCCCAAATCGCAGGGAATATCCAGCTGGGAAAAGGGGAGGTGCACAAAATAAGCAGTTGTTATAAATATTAATCTATCATCAAGGTACAACCAGCTTCCCATACCTAGCAGTGATCTCACTGTTACTGAACAGCTAGAGTGGCTTATGGCTAACCTAGCTCCTGTGCTGAAAGGATCTTGGTGTCTCAATTTTGGTTTGTGTGCAGCTGTTGCTTCCAAACCTTCTGCTACATTATTTGAGGCTTTGATTCTTTGTGTCCATTATTCGAGGCTTTGATTCCTTGTGTCCTTGCCTGACTTTTTCCAGCCTATACCCCTGGCTCTGATAACACGTCAGATCTCATTCAACAGTCATCTTTGTAAAAATACCATCTCATCTGCTCTCCAATCACGTGATTCAATGCGCACTTCCTGGTCCCTACAAAAGGCATCAGTTGAGATGTGATTTAATCCAGGTCCTCTTCGTGTGATCTCAAAGTCTGTACCAGAGGAGCCTTCAGCATTCCGCTCACCTACTCAGTGATTTAACAATAAGGGTTTGTTTTACATAAGAAGATTATTTTCTTTTTTCACTTTGGGTCTTTTTTTTTCTGGGGTTGGGGAGGTAATTAGGTTTATTTATTTATTTTGATGGCAGTGCTGGGGATTGAACCCAGGACCTCGTGTTTGCTAAGCGTGTGCTCTACCACTGAGCTATACCCTCCCCCACAGGAAGATTATTTTCTTCTTCTTTTCTCTGCTGATCTCCTGTTCTTTAACAAGTCCCATCCCTGTTTTCACCTATTCTTTAACTTTCTTATCACTGTCAACTAACTTGAAAGGTGAGAAGTCTGTTGCTTTCCTGAAGTCCTAATATTTCAACGTGTTTTGGGTGCATGGAAGGCTTTCCTGGGGACTTCACATGGAGAACTTTGTATGACATAAAGGCTTGTATCTGGAGGCCCTTGTCATCTGATAAACTGAAAAGAAATAATCAATATCCAGAAAGCTCTAGCAGGATATTAAACTGAGAATTTATTTGAACTAAACATGAAAAAACTCCAGTGATATTTTTTCAAGGCTCCCAACTGAAAGATTACCTCTTGTTCAGTAACCAGATAACACAATAAATAGCAAAAGTGAGATTTTTTTAAAGTCATATTAAAATTATATACCACTAATTAGTTTGAATTTGGGTTTAAACATTTTTTTTAATCATCATTCCATACAAAGTAGAAAAAATAGGAACATTTTTGAATTCAGGAAGTGTTATTTGGAAACATTCTTTGAGGCTGGATTTCTCTTGGAATAATTTAAAGTGTCTTCCCCATTGTGCAAGAAGCAAATCATCAAAACATCCTCTCACTCCCTCATTTAACCTTGGTAAGTAATGATATGTGCTGGCAGAATAACAATGAACGCTGGTTTCATACGATCCTCAGAAAAGATGGAGATTTGTTAATAATTCTATATTTCATACATTCTTTTCTTATTCTCAATACTGAATTAGTCTTCCCATCGAATAGATCTGAGAATTATCACCCATGCCTGCTGCTTTCCAGTTATCTGTCATTGCTTCCCCTCACCCTACTTTGTCTAGAATATTGACTGGGGGAGAGTGGGTGAGGTGACTGCTTTCCCCACAACCAATTCTGCAAAATCATTCTGAGAGGACTTATGGGGGCTGAGATAGGGGGATTAAAAATTGGTACTAATATTTTTATCATACTTGTTTAGATCCGCTCTTAACTTTGACTTTGTCAAATATAAATGAGTTTTCAAGAAATCTGATATTTGAAATATATATGACAATATATGTATATATATGTGTGTATGATTTCTATATGTAAATTGTGTATACACATATATGCTTTCTTCTATGACTCTAGACCCTTTAGAGTTGTCTATAATTAGTAGACATAGGTTCCTAACATCTCAGAGTTCTTTTTATAATGTTATATTATAACAACTCAGTTCAACAACTGTGTATTCATCTCCCAACCTTTTTCAAGACAGTAGGATGATAGAGGTGAATACATGAGCTGCCTTATGTTCCCAAGGACCTGGTTGCTCCATCTCAGTACATGGCTAACTGCAATACAAGGCATATTATGATGAACTCTATAATCCAGGTTCACATGGAGATGGCAGTAATGAAGTCTGGCTGGGAGTCTAAGCCTCACTAACCAGCGAGTCCTAGATTTCCACGTGTGAAGGAAGGCAAGGACATTCCAGAGAAGAGCTTCAACAAAGTCCTGGGAGTATGCTACTTCCACAGAGGGACAGAGAGGCTATACAAAGTGGCAAGAACGGGAAACTGGATGTGGAAAGGTGGGTAGGAGAGATAAATTATGTAGGACCTTTATGACCAAGCAAAGATCTTGAACTTTATTTTGCGGACAGCAGAAAGTCAGATAGGTTTTCTATGCAGGGAAATGACATCCAGATTCAAGACTCAGAAAGACAATTTCAGAAGCTTAGGGTAAACGGACAGGAGCAGGCATAAAGAACAGTGAGAGAGTCAAGCCAGGAGGCTATAAGGATAACGCCAATGGAACACAATGGCAGCCTGGCCTGGAGAATAAGCAAGGACACTGAGAAAAGATACAGTTGTGGTGAAGGAGAGAGAGGACTCAAAGCAAAATTGGATTCTATTTGGAAGATTGGGTGGATGGTAATAATATTAGCTGAACTACAGAACATAGACATAGTAGCAAGTTTGAGAGTCAGGTTTTAGATATGTTGGGTATAGGATGTTTGGAACATCTGGGTGGAGTCTAATACACAAGTGAACTTCCATTCTGTAGCCTAGGGCAGAGAATTGGGAACAGATGTAAATTAGCAATCAGACTGTGGCAATTTTTATACCTACCTCCACTTTCTGATAATATGATTGATTCAGGAAGCTGAAAATCCTTCTTTTACAAAAAATACCCAGACATGCTGCATAAAAGATAACAAACATCTTTTTAAAGGCACAGACAAGTTCACCACAGAGTAATGGAAAACCTCCAAATACATCTAACAGGCATTCCAGAAGGGCTTAATGAAGGCTGGAGTTGGGAGTGTAAGAAGTCATATTTCAAAATGCAATAAATAAACTTAACATATGATCCAGCAATCCCACTCCTGAGCATATATCGGGAGGGAACTCTAATTTGAAAAGACACATGCACCCCAATGTTCATAGCAGCACTATTTACAATAGCCAAGACGTGGAAACAACCTAAATGTCCATTGACAGATGACTGGATAAAGAAGATGTGGTACATAAATATATGATGGAATACTACTCAGCCATAAAAAGAATAAAATAATGCCATTTGCAGCAACATGGATGGATCTGAAGATCGTTATTCTAAGTGAAGTAAGCCAAAAAGAGAAAGAAAAATAACATGTTATCACTTATACGGGCAAATCTAAAAAAAGAAAAAAGAAGACATTAATGAACTTATTTACAAAACAGAAACAGACTCAGACATAGAAAAAAAACTTATGGTTACCGGGGAGAAACAGAATGGGAAGGGGTAAACTGAGATTTTGAGATTTGCAAATATTAGCTACTGTATATAAGATAAACAACAAGTTTCTTCTGTATGGCAAGGAACTATATTCAATATCTTGTAGTAACCTATAATAAAAAACAATATGAAAATGAATATATGTATGTATACGTATGAAACAGTGTGCTGTACCCGAGAAACTGACACAACATTGTAAACTGACTATACTCCAAAAAAAAAGGAGTGTGGCTTTAGTGTAATAGCATCATCTGGTGACCACGCCCACTTGCGTTACATTGGCTGCGATCTGCAGTTTGGTCTGAAAGCGGAAATACCGCGCAGGGCACACTAGCTGGTTTCCATGCTGTTTTCCGCAGCAGGGTGTTGTTGCCAATCATTGTCAGAAAGCCGTCGCAGCAGCTCTGCTCCCAGTGACCTGACGTAGAACTGTCTGGGCTGTGGCTGGAATATTAAATGACATTGTGTTTCTGCAGCCAGCTGAGCTGCTTGAGTCACAGCCGCAGTAAAAACGTTTTAACAAAATTAAAATCTCTGCGGGGGAGGGGAAAGCAGAGAATAAAGAAGGTTGGGCAGAATGCTGAAATGGAGGAAGGCAAGAGCGGGAGACTCTGGCATTGACTAATTTCTATATTTAGTTATAAGAGGAAAGTAGAGATGGAGGCTGAGAGGTTTACATTTGTGATTTAAAACAGTCTACAATTTGCTCCCCATGGAATTGAAAAAAAAATAAGAATTTTCTAGAAAATACATCTACTAAATCAAAAGGGGCCATGGGACAAAGAAATCAAAGCTATCCCCTGTGAGAGCAAATTGAAACAGATCAATTACCTCTTGTCACTTCCTATTTCCAAACTAATGACTTACTTTTTAAAAACCCTGGCTCTGTGCACTGCTGGGTTTAGCACCAAAAAGGAAATTTCTGATGTGTATCTCTCATGCAAATGGAAAATGATTGGGATGATAAAGTACTGCTGCTGCTTTAGGGAATCAACATAAGTAATTCTTATTCATACAGAAAAACTAGAATTTGGAAAATCTTTACGTCAAGATAGATTCCTCAGGAGCATATTGTATTTTATTTTTACTCAGAGGAGTATGTCTAAGTGTCACCTTGAACAAAGGAAAGAAGATGGAATCTAAACTACAAGGTAAATTTCTTTCGTTTGCTTCATTTAGAAAGGAAGAAATACCCCAGTATTCACAGCACAGAGACATGGAAGTAACCTAAATGTCCATTAGACAGATGACTGGGTAAAGAAGATGTGGTGTATATATACACAACAGGATATTACTCAGCCATCAAAAAGAATGAAACAATGCCATTTGCAAACAACATGGAGGGACCTAAAGATGATCATACTAAGTACGTCAGACAAAGACATGATATCACTTACATGTAGAATCTAAAAAATGATACAGATGAACTTATTTACAAAACAGAAATAGACTCCCAGACATAGAAAACAAACTTGCGGTTACCAAAGGGGACAGGTGTGGAGGGGGAGCGATAAATTAGGAGTTTGGGATTAACAGATACACACTACTATATATAAGATAGATAAACAACTAGGACCTACTGTAGAGCACAGGGAACTATATTTAATATCTTGTAATAACCTATAATGGAAAAGAATCTATAAAAGAATATATACATATATGTGTATATATAACTGAATCACTTTGTTGTACACCTGAAACTAACACAATCATTGTACATCAACTATATACTTCAATCAAAAAAAGAAAAAAGAAGGAAGTAATAACTTGTCGTCCCACTGCTTTCCAGGCCCTGAGGGTACAAAGGTGAGTTAGACAAGATCCCTGTAATTCACAGACAAATGTTAAAGGATGAGACACCAGCTAAGGGTAGCAAAGAATAGCCAAGAGCTGCAAAGACCAGCAAAGAGCTCAAAGGCAGGAAGAACTGCTGGGCCCGGGAGGGACTAGAGGCAGGCACTGGACGTCAGGAATCCACTTTGCATGAGGCCTTGATTCTGTAGGCTGTGGAGGGCTGAGTTTAATGCAAAGAAGCAATATTTTTAAGGAAACTCTCTCTGTCAGCAGCATGGAGGCCAGCCCAAATCCATGACTCTCAACTCTCTTCCACCAAGACAGCCACGATGACATCTTCCTAGTTCCCTGTGTGTAACTAATATGGGGGCCTTCATCTATAAGAAAGCATCCTGAAATGCAAGTGATTTTTCACAAAGTAAATTTATCACCGACTTTGGCACTTAAGCTATTACTAAGTGATTTACAATGTGCCACACATCTGATCATGAAAGAGTTAGGATGCCGAGGCTGGGCACTGCTAGAGCAAGGATGGCCATCTGTGCTCCACAGACACCTGGGGGTTCAGGGACGGTGTCCTGGGAACTGGGGGGGGGGTGGACAGGTAAGGAGACAGAGCCCAGAACTGCCCCCCCAACACACACACACACAAAACACACTTCAACCACAGCAGCTGCACTTTTATCTTACTATTATAGGTCTTTCACCAAAATTTTGTTTTAATAAAGGCTCCACTGCTTTAAAAAAAAACAAAACTTATTTGCACAGATGGATAGAAGATGGGAGAGACTGACGGCAGATAAGTCAAATAGGAGATAACTGTAATAGTCTGGGTGAGAATAATAAAATTGGGTTCAGCTAAATCAAGTTGAGTGGATGACTCAAACCTCATAAACCAATATGAATTATATTGCCTAGCTATAAGGTATTTCCATGATATATATAATAGGAAACCATACTACTAATTTTGGCATGAGATGGCACACAAATGAATAATAAAATATACAAGACTAGCACTTCTCAAATTTAATGTGTACAGACATCACCTGGAGATCTTGTTAAAATACAGATCCTGATTCCCAGGGTGTGGGGTGGGACCTGAGAGTCTCCATTTCTGAGAAGTTCCCAGAGATACGTTTTCCAAGGACCACACTTTGAGTAGCAAGGGTCCAGGGACTCCTCCAGAGAATTCCCAGCCCAATGCAAGGGTGTGGGCTTTGAAATCAGAGACCTTTGGACTTAAGCCCAGGATTCACCACTTACAAATTGTAGCTGACCGCTCAGTCTGTGTCCTCATCTGATGATAGCACTCCACTAGCTGGTGAGCTGTTGTGAGGATTAAGAAAGAGAACACACGTAAGGTGTTAGCCCAGTGCCTAGCTCATGGCGAACATTTAGTAATGGGTAACTACTGTCACTGTTGTCTAAAAGCCAATTTTAGAAAAGAGTGGATCCACCCATCCGCTGTATCAGCATCACTGGTGGTGCTAGGTTAAGATGCAGATATCTGCATCCCCTCTTCACTTGGTCAACTGGACTTATGTCTTCTTTGGTCATTCAAGTGGGGCGAAGGAAGGATCCTTTTAAAATTCAAGCAAACTGGGTGTTTGTCTTATAACTTGTCAGAGGAAACAAATTTTAAGGGAGGGAGGGAGGAAGGAAGGAAGGAAGGAAGGAAGGAAGGAAGGAAGGAAGGAAGGAAGGAAGAAGTTGTGAATTCCTGGACCCCGCTCCCCATCTTTCAACCCAATGAATCATAACATCTGAGGGAGGATTGATTGGCACTTTTAACAAACCCCTTTACACACCAGAGCTGAAGGATCACGGCTAGGAGCTTTGTGCATGTGAGGCTGGACTTGGTCAGATCCTTCCAAGGAATATTTATTTAGCCTGCAGGGTCAAAGCTTGGCTTATACCATGACCTGGCTTCTTGGAGCAGGAGAAAAGTGAAAGGCAGTGGTCACTGAGCCACAGAAATGATAACATTCGTAGAATGAAAGGAGAAGTCTATGCTCTGCTTCCCCATATTCCTTGTCAGATAAGAAGCTCGTGTCCCAGAGCAAAAAAGACCATCTCAAGCCCCCTTCCTTCCTTCCTCCACTTTCATGCAAGGTTTCTCACCAAGAGAAGTTAAGAGGAACGGCATCTTTTCAGGCCAATTCTGGGCAAAACTGCCCCTGGACTGAGTATCAAAGTTGGTCCAAGTTAATTCAGAGGCCTTTCTGATTTGCTTTTTTTCCCCTTTATCCCACTGCTCAGGCATACCCTCTCTTCTCATCCTCTGATGCCATGTGCCACCTCATTTTTCTAGATCCCCACTGCAGTGTGTTCTCCCTCATCTGCACCCTCATGCCTCCTTCCTACTGAGCACACAGACTACTTCGTGGGATAAACAGGTGGGGAGGCAGGCATTCTTCAGAAGAAATGTGTGGGCTGAACCCAAGCCGCACCTCGAAGGATCAGACCTAACTCCATGACTAGAGGGACCAGAGCTGGTACTACCTACAGACAAAGCAGGACTGTACTTAGAAAACAAAATTAAATACATAATTAAGTGGCCAGCAAGGTCCCCAGAATCACAGAGCATAACAGGTAACTTCAGCCTAGAAGAAGGCAGATATTACTAGTTGTTCACCACACACGTGCGAAGAAACCTCAAAAGTGGTCCAAAAGAAGATCCACTTTTGATTAAATAAACTGTTCAATGACCCTGTCAGGGCCAATTCCTCATTTTCCAAAACCTCTTGCACCTGTACATATTAGGCAATTGGTCAACGAATTATCCACTGAGTATCTATTGTGTGGCCAGCATCCTTCTAGGTCCTGGGGATGCTACTGCATAGATTGCATTTAATGTGCTTATTTTTGAATACATAAATAAGTTAATTTTAGTTGATTATAGAACTATATGCTGTAATGCTTGCTACTAGGAAGAGAAAATAGGGTGCTATGACTGGGCATGCGGACCTTAGCGGAGCCTTCTCTATGGAGGTGGCATCCAAGGTGAGAGCTACATGAGGGGAAGGTGGTAACCATGTAAACATCCAGGGGAAGAGCATTCCAAACAGAAGGACAGTAATGCAAAGACCTTGAGATGAGAACAAGCTTGGCATGTTTCAGAGACCGAATGAAGGCACCCGATACGCGTCTGCATTAAATACATGGATATCTGATACTTCCCAACCAATGTGATTGGGAGCCTTATTAGAATTTGAACTATGGCATTAACACATTATTAATTACTTTCCTTTTAATTCTTTGAGTATGAATTACCCCCTAGGTGGCAGGCTCCCTGAAAGAGGTAGTTGGTAAGAGGTGCATTGGGAAGTGTATTCCTTGAGCTCATAACGGGCGGTGGAGACAGATATGTGAGCACACAGACAAAGCAACCTTCCAAGTGAGTTACAGCTGGAGCAGGAGTGTCACAAGGGACCGTGGAAGCTTAGAGGAAGGTCTCCCCCTCCGGGAGAATGAGGGAAGCCTTTACATAAGAGGTGACCTTTGAATTGAGCCTGTAAAGAGGAATAGGATTTAACAAGATGAACTGTTCCAGCAATACTGTGGACTAAATATCCTGAAAAATCTTCTAGTGACAGAAGACCCAAACTGTTGAATTAAATACAATAACTATCTTTTGAAAATCAGGACTGAAGAATAGTGAACTAGTGCTGAAGCTGACCTTTTACTGAAGGCATTTGCAGAAAGTAGGAACCCGGAGCCCTGGGGGAAAGGCTGGGTAGGGGGTCTGGGGGCCAGGACCCAGGAGACAGGAGTTGGAGGTGAGACACCACATAATGTCAGGGACCTTGAAGGGCCGCACTGTCCTTACAAAGGTAGGAGGGAAAACTGCCCCTTAACAAAGGCAAAGCACCTAGAGACGTAAGTTGTTCGTCTCAGTCCAGGTGCTGGGAAGGAAAACAAAGGGAAAGGTATGTCTCCTAAGACAGTGAGTAACTAGAGCCACCCTTCTCTCCTTCAGACCGGGGTTTGATTACACCACTCACTCGATTTACACCCCAGATTCCCCAAAGGCTCACGAATGGACAGCACCGCATACTTCACGAAGATGGTGTGAAAGATGGGCTAAAATTAGGATCATGTAAGAAGCAGTTAGTTAGGTCCACCCTAAAAATCTGTGCATTTCTCTGTAAATTATAGCTCAATAAAATTTTTTTTCAACGAAGAAGAAAAGGAGGACAAGTAGGATGAGGAGAAAGAGGAGAAGGAAGAGGGGGAGTTAAACGTCCAGATATGCTCCACAGTTTAGGTCTCTAGACAACCTCCCCTAGACTAGAGGGTTCCTCTCTACAGAGGGCGAAAGGCTGCCCGCAGCGGAGACGTCAGACGTAGCTGATGGCACAGATACAATAAGCAGAAACAAGAGGCGAACATGTGCACACAAGACTCTGTGACTACCTTAGCCTTCTTTCCCCCACTTTGCTCCCAGAGCCTGGCAGCTAGGGTCAAAACATAATGACCCTGGAGTCTCCCTAATAAAATGGCCCAGATCACCCTGAAGGTAAGACAAATCCCACCCTTCTGCCCAGAGCTTCCAATAGGCTTTTTAGTCTTTCTCTCTTAAGCAGGAGCGGACAACCAAAGATTACTAGACATCCTAAAAATCCTCCACTGGGGAAGGTGGAGGCCCATACAAGCAAGCAAACAAGCCACATACAAAAATAGAAACCAGCAGAGGAAATAAAACTTTTTAAATTTAAAAAAGATTCTTACAGACATGAATATTGCATTCACAAAATAAGAACGGGATGCTATAAAAAGGAACGTTTAGAAGGAACAAAAAGAAGAGGTCTTGAAATTTAAAAACATGGAAGCAGAAATGGAACAATCCACGACAGAATTTTCTCTCTCAATTTCTGGAGGCCAGAAGTCAGAGATCAGGGTACCAACATGGTCAGGTTCTGGTGAGAGCCCTCTTTAGGGGTGCAGACTTCTTTCAATATCCTCACACGACAGAAAGGGAGCTACCTCTTTGGTCCCTTCTCATAAGGGCACTAATTCCACTCATGAGGGCTCCACCTCATGACCTAATTACCTTCTAAGGGCCCTACCTCCTGTCACATTAGATTAGATTTCAACCTATGAATTTTGGGGGACACACACATTCAGTCCATAACAGAGGGCCAGTACATGAGGTACAGTATCTGACAGGCATTCCCAGAAGAAGAATAGTGAAGTAACTCAAGGAGATTTCTTAGAATTTAAGGATGTGACTTGCAGATTGAAAGAGCCCGCTGACAGCCCAGCACAGTGACTAAAGCAGACCCACATCAAAGAACAACAGTATGAAGTTTTACAACACTACCATCAATTTTTTAATTCTTATTTTTTATTGAAATGTAGTTGATTTACAATGTTAGTTTCAGGTGCACAGCAAAGTGATTCAGTTATATATATATGCATATACATTTTTTAGATTCTTTTCCATTACAGCTCATTGTAAGAAATTGAATATAGTTCCCTGTGCTACACAGTGGGTCCTTATTGTTTATTTTATATATAGTAATGTGTATCTATTAATCTCAAACTCCTAATATATCCCTTCCCCACACCATTCCTCTCTGGTAACCACAGTTTGTTTTCTATGTCCATGAGTCTATTTCTGGTTTATAAATAATATTTGTATCTATTTTTTCAGATTCTACACATAAGTGATATCATATGACATTTGTCTTTGTCTGATTTACTTAATATGATAATCTCTAGTCCATCCATGTTGCTGCAAATGGCATTATTTCATTCTTTTTTGTGGCTGAGTAATATTCCACTGTATTTCTTTATCCATTTATCTGCTGGTGGACATTTAGGTTGTTTCCACATCTTGGCTATTGTAAATAGCTACTAGTATCAATTTATTAGTTTACAGAGATAGCGAAAGTAAAAACAATAACAAATAACTAATCACACATAAAGGATCAGGAATTAGCATGGCTTTGGATCCCTTAACAATAATACTAGAGGCAAGAAGTCAACAGAGCATTTCTGTTTTCAGTTACAGCACGCCAGGTAACTGAGCAAATCCTTCTGCTGAAAACTGAGAAAAACTGGATAGTCTGTTTTTGAAAATAAAGATACCTTTAAAAAAGTAAAGATAGGAAAAGACAGCTGGGAACTCTCAGGTCACTTTTCAGACTGGAGCACATACGCAGAGAAGCCAGCAAAACAACAGAGCAAGAACGGCAAACCTGAGCTATACTCGCTCTCCCTCCCCCGAGCTGTGGAAACTTGTAGGGACAAGTAGCCGTGGTGCTGTCGGGGGAGTAGCAGTGAAAGATGGGGATGCAGGGAGGAAGAGAAGGCATCCTACGGAGGTTGTACCCACAGATTGGTCCTCCGTGCAATTGTATTCAGGATACGCATAACCTGGGCGGGCCAGGAACCTCTCCAACCTGGTGTGGTCCTTCCGGATAGTGCCCGTAGGCACCTGGCAGAAACACACGCAAAGCCCTGCAGGAAGGCACATCCAGCCGAGGCCCCAGAGAACCGCCGCAAATCATTTTTCTCAGGTGATGTTCATCAAGCTGCGGAAGCACACCAGAAAACAAGACGCGAACCCAAGTGAGAACCAATGTTGGAATGGTTGGTCGTGAACTTTAACCTATGCTTTCCAAGTTCAAAGAACTAGACTTAAAAATATCATCAGGAAACAAGGGATTGTGAGAATGACATAGCGGTTTTGAAAAAGAACCAAAGACAATACTCAGAAATGAAAAAAAATTTAAGGTATGCCTTCATGATTCAGAAGGAAAATGATGGCTGATCTAAAATTCTTGACCTAGCTACTCTATGCATAAATTAACAGGCTACGATAAAGAAAATTTCAACAGGCAATATTTCAAAACACTTACCTCCAGGGCACTCTTTCTGATGAGGTTACTGTAGGGTTTGGTCTATCAAAATCAAACCCTAGACCAAGAAGATACGGGAAACAAAAAACAGGAGATCCAATGTACAAGAGAGGCAAAGGGGACTTCCAGGAGGATGTTGAAAGGAGGTACCAGGATGACAGCCATGGAGCAGATACAGAGGAAACCTGTCTCTATCGCAGCAACAGAATTCAAGAAACAGACACATTGATAGCCTCCATCACTAAGATCCCTGCCATCATTCTCCTTTTTCTGTTTTTTTTTTTTTAACCTGAATACAGAATGTCTGGCCATAGTCTTATATGTACTCAACTTTTTTTTGACCATTGGTACAAAAATTCCTGTTCTCCCCTCCATATCTGTTGCTTGGATCAACTAAGATGCTCATTCATTCCTGGGTGATTTGACCTACTGAGAGCTGGACGCAGGTCATCTGATGTCAGAAGCAGGAAATACAGGGCACCCCACTCCCATTAATACTATTTTTATGAAAATCTTTATGTTCCACCCTGCTGCCCTGCCAGATGCTCTAACTGTGATCTGCCATCTATTTTCCAGAGCTCATTGTTCTCCTAAAAGTTCCCAGAACTCAATTTCCTAAAATCAAACAATAAAACACCAACATACCTACAGGTAAGTAAACCCTCATATTAGAATGTATAATAGCTAAAACACCACTTATTTGGACTTATAATTTATGAGATTGTCACAACACTTGACTTGTGAGATCAAGCCACGTCCAAGTCTGCACATATGGCGCCCTTTTCAAACATCCTCACATCATTCTGCCATCTCCCAATTGTTTGGGGAAGTAACTTCAGACTTCACCTATGTATAATTTTGTTTAAGCTATTGGATTGGGGAACATACATAGAATTTTTTTCTCTACAACTTAAGCTGAAAAAATGTGTTGAGAGGCTGCAGTCTGTGAAGCTGGAGTATTAAAAGCCAAGGGGTCATCCAGCAGGAAAACATCACCAGAGAAAGGCCCAGCCAGCTGCCCTGTGCCCTGGGAGTCCTTCCTTCGGTGACATCACCGAGAGCTAAATGCCCAGAGTCTTAGCAAGAGGGAAGGCCTAACATGAGCTTTGCTCCTGGGAATTTCCACCATCCAAAAGAAAGGCCACCTCAGTGGGGGAGCAGGGGTGCTTACTGAGAAATGCAGGATATTCATCAGTTGTGGGAAAACATATGCTGAAAGGATATTTTCCCCTCTTGTCTGATTGGTGAGTTAGAACTTGATGATCCAAGTAGTTCCAGGAAATAAGATTCATGACATCAATTTGTGCTGACATTTTCTCAGCCACTCAATTCCCTCCTTACGGCCGGCTGCACTTAGCAGTGTTACACAGCCAGGCGGGGTCAGTTACCGCATAAATTTCACTAGATACCTCTTATTTTCGGGCCCACACCATTAGAAGAAATTCTGCCAAGAAATTCTCCTGCAGTCTTAAATGAAGTCACATGACCCTGACACACAATTTATTAACTGCTGTTATGTTTCAGGTTGGAAGTTTGCAGAGAAAATAAAAATAAGGTCCTAGGTGCATCTGTTTATAGCTATATTTCAAGGATTAAAGTGATTACATAAGCGAGTTGAATCATGATTTGCTAATTAATACAAAGCTCTTGTAAATGGCTTAAATAATCGGTTTTTTTTAAAAGACTTTTACATTTAAAAATAAAATGTCTCATGAATGTTTTCCTTGAAGTCTTTCATTAAAATTATGAAATATTCACTTTGCTGTTTAATAAATGCCTGATGATGATAATGCTTTGTTTTTAAATGAAGATTTTTTTAAGTGAGACTGTTTTTAAAGCAGGATCAGAAATTGTAAGGTAAGGATTCTGATCACCAATTCCAATGGCGGGGGCAGGGGGGTGGCGGGGGAGAGGACGTTGCCCCCCTACACCACCAAGCAATTCTTCAACACTGCCTGGGTGTCCTACAATTTAATTCAATTCCAACGCTGTTTACCTGGAGATACCACCAGATTCCACAGGTTATGGGCTCAGTCCTACAAGAATACCCCCTACTTCAGATGCCAATCAGTAGTACTGGTTGTCACCTGGGCTTCTGACCCACAGGCAGAAGACCCACAGGTAGGTGGTTCCAGAGATCCCTCTCCTCTGGTTTGATTACTTTGCTAGAGCGGCTCACGGAACCTGGAGAAGCATCGTACCAGATTACTGGTTTATTTTGAAAAGATGTAACTCAGGAACAGCAAGATGGCAGAGATGCAGAGGTCAAGGTGAGGGAAAGAGCGCAGAGCTTCCATGCCCCTCTGGGTGAGCTACTCTCCCGGAACCTACACACGTTCACCAAGCTGGAAGTTCTCCAAACCCTCTCTTTTTGGGTTTTTGTGGAAGCTTTATTGTATAGGCATGATTGCTTAAATCATCGGCCACTGGTGATTGAGTCAACCTCCAGCTCCTCTTCCTCCCTTCCCAGGGAGAGGGGTGGGACTAACAGTTACAATGCTTCCATCACACGGTTAGTTCCCCTGGTAACCAGCTCCCAACCTTAGATGGGTCCAAAAGTCACCTCATAAACATAACAAAAGGCACCTTTCTGGCTCTCATCACTTAAGAAATCCAAGGGCTTTAGAAGCTCAGTTCCCGAAACAGGGACAAAGACCAAATCTATATTTGTTATTATAGATGACAATATCACATAAGGTATATAATTTAAATGATTAGCTGTGTGGTCAGAGTTTGAGCTGAAGGACATGTAATTGATAAAAATCTGGTATCCTGAAGAGCAGGTGCAGTTTTTCTAAAGGCCATATGTTAGTCAGGATAGGCTAACTGCGATAACAAACAGCCCCCAAATATCAATGGTTTAATATAGTAGACCTTTATTTCTTACTCATGCAAAGTCCAATGCAGAAGTTTCTAAGCACTGAAGTAAACAGCCCCCAAGGAAAAGACTCAATACTTTAGCCTCCTTCTGTCTTGCCACTTCAACCATCTTCCTCCTGAGGCCACCAAGTTCTGCCAGAGTGAAAGGGTGAGAGTGGAGAAGGCCATCTGCACAAAATTCCTTGCCTGTTAAGTGACACGTCACTTCTGCTCTAATCCCATTGATAAGAGCTAGTCACAGTCTCAATGGTGTGCTATAAGCAGCGGGTCCCAGCTTCTGAAAGTTGCTTAGGTGCATTTCCCCCCCCCCCCGCCAACTCCACATTCAATGACGTCATGTTTGTGTCTTGAAATAGGCCTTTGTGGAATTTTTACAACATGGAAATAGGCAGGTACTACAGGGGAGGCCTTTTCCCATCTGGAGAGTCAGGTGTTTAACATTTACCAGCACAGCACAGGGTCCCAACCAGCTCGATGCAAGGGGCCTGGGAAGGGGATCTGGCTGTGTGTCTGTGAGGAATGAGTGGGACTGGTGAGTATCTAGCATCTCCTGGTCACAGGAAAGAAAAGCAAAATTAATTTCACTTGACTTTAGAAATCATCTCCTTACAACTATTCTTTACAAAGGAGCATTACTCTGTTTTGGCTTTTTGTTATCCTGTCTCTGTCACTTATAAACTCTAAGCCCAGGGGAACTGTGTATGAACTGCCTAACTAAAAATACGTTGCTGTAGGGAGGTAAGATGCCATCCTGTTCGTAGGGTTTTCTTCAAGGGAAAGTTCCCCTCTTGTTCATGTGAGGTTCCTGGTCTTCTCCCCCTCAATCAAAATATTACATACTTCCTACAATGCCTTACAAATCTTCATGGGCAATTTTTTTCCCTGATTTTTTAAAACAAGTTGTGTCATGAGGATTACTCTTTTTGTAGGTAATAAATGATCAAATATCAGCAATTTCATATGGCTCAGCCTATACTAAGCATAGTTGTTGTTTTCAAGTCCCATCAGGGATTTCCTATCATCTTTTGTTTTGTTTGATGCAGTTTACTGGATTACCCACAAGGTCCCCTTATTAGCAATATAAATGATCAGAAGTTGAGGGTTTTTTTATCCTCAGATACTTTCTCTTGACCTTTAGGTTCAGGCTTTCCCCCAAAAGTTAGCATGGAAGGTCCCACTCTCTTTTCAATTCTTTATTGTTTTTAATGTGAGTTTAAATAGATTTTATCCAACATTTTTCACTTTAGGGAAAAGGCTGGTCCTTATTACATAGCCCACCATGAATGCAAACTGATTTCCTGTGTGTATAGGAGGTCACAACACACAACCTGTCTTTCGACTTCCTTTTAACACTGCAGTCAGCGAGGCCAGGCGTGAAGGCTCTCAGAGCTGCTGGCTCTGGGCTTCATCAGCACTTCATCCAATAGGCAATACATTTCCTAAAATTGGCTCCTATGTGCCCAAACCACCAGCCATTCAAATAAACTAATTCAATTGTGAGCTCATCTGAAAGCATGTTCTGGTAGGAAGATGCCAGGCAGGGCGGGGGTTCCCTGAGAGCTTCGTTCAGAGACAATGGGGAGCTTACAGAGAAATACAGAGGGCAAGGCCCAGCTAGAACCTGGACCGAGTCAGTTCCTAGCAGGTGATCCTGCTGGTGACAGAGCAATTAGAGGGGGCCCTAAATATTCGTGATTAGGGAAGTTAGCTAACTTCAGCTAGAACTGGGGAGATTGGTTTCAGTTCAAGCTAGGCTTAACAAGCAAGAGACTTGAGCGTTCTTAGAGAAGGAATAAGACTTGGCGGGAAGCACGGTGTGGGTGTGGCTACGAGAACAGAGCTGGGTCTGCAGGAAATAGTTGCTCCTGGCAGGGGTGGAGCACTGGGGGCCTTCTGAGGGGTGTGTTTAGTAGTCGTGTTTTCAGGAGCAGAGAGCCTGGGGATGAGGGTCTGACAGCTCAGAGGGCTTGCTGTGCCGGAAAGGTTCCCCTGTACTGCTCTCCTGCAACTTACCTTGTCTGCCAGCAGCTTTTCCTCTCTGCCGTTCCTGTCTCCTGCCCCTGCAGGTCTCCTTCTCTTGGCTTACTTGAACGGTGGATACAAATAGAGGTGAATTTGATGGTAGACCCTAATAATTAGTGTGCCCTAGTGCCATGTTTCTCAAAGAATATGCAAAGTTCTGCTGCGAGGTACAGAAAACCATAGGATAGGGAACGTCTTCGAGTTTTACTTCTGTTTTGAAGACATGGGAAACAAAGTTATTTCTTTATTCAAAGGAACCATTTACTTTGCAGTCTTGTACTACTCGCCTTCTTTTCTCATCCTTCTCTATACACTTTTCCAGGAGGTCATTTCAAGACCAGGGCTTCGGTGAACACATATATGCAGTTAACTCGCCAGGTTACATTTATAGCCCTGGTATCATTCTTGGGCTGCAGGCACTCACATACAACTTATACTTGAAGCTTTCCATGTCTAAAACTCAGCGCAGTGTGCTCTTCCCAAAGCGTACGTGTTCCTCCCTGCATTCATTCATTCATGCCTTCATTCACTCATTTAGTTATTTGAATACTATTCTACTGCTACACCAGGCACCATAAACGAGTCATGAGAGATATATATGGCCCCACCTTCACAAAGCTTCTGGTTCAGTGAAGTATATTCATAAGTAAAGAAGAAGACTTCACAGAACTGAAGAACATGAATCTCCCAATTAAAACAACCCATGGAGGGCCGAGAACAACACACTTCTAAGATCATTCGAGAAAAAAAAATTGGGAAATACCAAAAGACTTGAAACAAAGAAAATATTTTTTTCAGAGAGAATTTTTTTTCATATACAAAGGAACAGAAATAGAGTGACACTAAGACTTTTAGCACCACCTGTAAAATTCGAAAACCATAGAAGAATGCCTGCAACATTCTGAGGAATTGTTATTTTCAAGGGAGATTACTATGTCTTTCAAACTAACAATTATGTATGAGTGTATTAGCTTCTTCAGAGAAACGGAGCCAATAAAACATGGATTTATATATTTAAAGATTTATTTGAAGGAACTGGCTCATCTGATTATGGATTCTTGCAAATCCAAAATCTGTAGGGTGGGCCAGCAGGCTGGCAACCAAGGGAAGGGCCAGTTCAAGTTGGAAAGCCATCGGCTGATGGAATTCCCTCTTGCTCAGGGGAGATCAGTCTTGGTTTCATTTAGCCCTTCAACTGACTAGATGAGGCTCACCACACTCTGGAGGACAATCTGCTTTACTCAAAGTCCACTGCAGTGTGATATCAAGCTTTTTAAAAATTGTAATGTAATGCCTGACATTATGCTTTTGATTGCCAAGACATCCATCCCAAATAAACATGTTCCCAGCTGTATGACACAGCTACTAGTAAAACAACTAGATAAGAATCCAGGCCACCCTACGCACAAAGTTCCCCTTTCAGAAAGCCTTGGGTAACCTAGATGACTGACCACTTGAATGATTCCACTTTTCCCTTCCTGTGCCCTAATTCCCACTCATGTGTTAAATTTGCCAATAAAAAGTGAACCCTAGTCATCTCACTCTCAGACGCCAATAAGGCAGAGCCCCAGGTCTGCACCCCCTCGCTCTCTGTCTACCTTCAGCCTCACTGTGTGGCCACTGGTCATGCCGTGTACCCTCCAGGACCCATGAGTAATACATCTTGTTCTTTCAAGTTCCCTGATGGTGTTTGTTAGGTGTGTCTCCTGATCATGATAGGAACTGCAAAGGCCAGTCCAGCCACAACACTGGCTGCAGTCTGGGGATGGTCAGTGGGGGCCCCACCACAAGCAGTGAGGACCAGGCGAGTGCCTCAGACACCCCTGGCCGATAGCACCACTATCCACAGGAAGAGACGGACAGAACATCCGCCTACGTCAGGATTAATCTCATCCAAATATACTCTCGGGGAAACATCCAGAAAAATGTTGCACACATTCCTGGGCACTATGGCCCAACCAAGCTGACACATAAAATTAACCATCACAATGACGAAAGATTAGAATGTCTTCAAAAATTGAAGGCCTCCAAAAGTTAACCTCCCGGGTATCCTTTCCTATGAGCCTCTTCAGCGAAACAAGAGAGTCAACTGAGAAAGAAAAGCCATGGATCTAGGAAAAGGAACTCACAGGCTGGTCTCAGGACAAAGCTACGCAGCCGGCAGAGGAAGCAGCCTGGGTGGACAGGAGCATCAGGATGGGAGCCGGGAGGGGGAAGGAAATGGAAGCGAGACTCTGATGTTCTCCCAGATCTTTCCTCTGAGAGTCTCTGCGGGGTGGTTAAGGGCACAGACGCTGGAGCCATACTTCCTGGGTTTAAATCCAGAGTTTACTCCCTTGTAGTGGAGTGATATTCATCTCCTCGTCAGCCGTTTCTTCATATGCAAAAAAGGGAAGATTATGGTATGTTTTGCTGGGAAGGATGGCGGAAGGATGGACAGGAGGAGCTAGGCTGTGTTGCTTAATGACCCCAGATCTCAGGATCTTATAAGCACAAAGGTATTTTTCTTTCTCATGCTGTGTGTCCCATGGGTTGGCTGGGGCTCCACACTTAAGCATGCAGGCTGAGGAAGTCTCCATCACCTGGGATGACAGTGTTTTCTGTGGTAGGGGAAGGAAAAGTGGGGAGGGACAGACCAGCTCTTAAAGGCTCCTGTCCAGAAATGACATGTCATTTCTGCTCATGTTTCCTTGGCTGAAGCCAGGAGCGGGCGGGGATGAGGAGAAGGATGAGAATGTTGACAAACACCCACTGATGACCACCGACCCCCAGGCTCTCCCCTCCATGGGGCAAGAATCCGGGACTTTGGACAAGAAGTGAAGCAGTAGCAACTGAGGGGAGGAGGGGAAGGACAGACGGGTCCTCAAGGAGGAAATAAGGAGAAGGCTAGAGAAGGGACAGGAGCTGTGAGTCCAGGGATGTGGGTTTGGAGTTTGAGAGAGGTGAGAAATGAAAGAATTCCTGCGAGAAGTAAAAACCTCGAGAGCCCGCGAGAGGGCTGACTAGGATTGACAGGCACTCTTGTTCGGTGGTTACAACACACATGAGAGAGGCACTGTCTGATTGCTACTCAAGAAAACCTAACAGACTTTTGTTAGGTTTCTTTAAATGTATCTAACCCTATTTTAGTGCATCTTCACACAGCTCATTTAACAGAGTATTTCTTACCAACATTGATTTTGTCCTACAAATATATTTTTTAAAGTATTTTCCATGGTTCCAAAAAGAAAAAAAGAATGGAAATTAAGTCCTGGTCTCATTTTTTAAAATAAGCTTCTTTTGGATTAGTTTAGATTTACAGAACAGTTACAAAGACATTGAGTTCCCACATACATTATGTCCAGTTTCTTCGATTATTAACATCTTCCATTAGTATGGTGTATTTGTCACAATTAATGAACCAATATTGACACATTATTAGTAACTAAAGCCCATACTTTATTTATTTTTTTTAGGAGTTGTTATAAAATTGCTTTAACTCAGTTCTCTCTGCATTACAAGCCCGAGGAGGGCAGTGGACTCTGCCTGCTCCCCTTACAACACTGAGCCTGCAACCACTGTTACCAAAATATATATCTGTCACCATAAAAAACCACATGTGCTTCCCCTTGTGACTTACAACAGGTATAAAAAATTATAAATATTTACACCCTTGTTCCACCCGACATGGGAACTCAGGGCCCAGACCCCGAGGGAGGGCCAGCCAGCACGGGGCCTGTGCGCCTGAGCCCCTTGGACCCACGAGTGCAGGACGAGGCAGTTAAGACTGGAGGGCGGCTGCCCCAGATCCTGGGGTCCCAGCGTCAGAGGCAGACAGAAAAACAGAAACAAAACTTTGGTCCAAAATCATACTTTATTCAGATTGCCTTAGTTATGTCCTTTTTCTTTTCCAGAATCTCACCAAAGATACCACATTTCATTGAGCTGTCATGTTTTCTCATTTTATTTTGAACAATATCAAAATCTCACATTGATTCCCTTGTACCGAAAAGAAAACAAGTTGAATTCAGAGCTAGCTGACAGGGAGTTAGGATTTAAAACTTAGAGAGAAGACAAGATCTCCCCCTACTGTTTAGAATAGAGAATAGCATCTTGACTTTCCAACGTAGGCTAATGCAGAACAAACCTTCCTAAAAGTTTTTTTTTTTTTGAAATGATAATAAACATCATAGTTTAACATCATCCGTAGGAAGAGAAGACACAGTCAATTACTGACAGAAATGACAACCTCAATAACAAAATGTCCTTGAAGAGAGAGGGAGTTTCGTTCCTGTAAGGGGTTCATGTAAAAGCCGGCAGAGTTGGCGAGCAGGTATCCCCTACAGTCCCTCCTACAGAATAGTTAACCAGGGACTGAATGAGCAGTTTCCTGGGGGTTTACATTCCTTATAGGCACCAATCAGGATGGCTGAATGTAAAAGGTGTGGCGTTCACTTCCTGTGCTGTCTACTTCACCAGTGAATGAGCCCTCTAGTTAGCAGCACCTTTCCCTTCCCCACTCCCATCCCCAATTACTGGACATCAGATTTCTGGCTATTCGAACATTTGAACACAGTGAAAAATCAGAAAGCCTGCCAAAGGACACCTGTGAAATAACTGTCCCAAAGACAGATAAACAGAAACTAGTCATCCATGTGGAAATAGACGTGGTTAAGAACTTAGAACTTACTGGCTATTCTTATAAGTAATTCTAATCATTTGGATGAGCGGATTTGGATCTGTGGGAAAAAAACACAGCATCCTTAGTAAGAGTGGCTTCAACACTGGCTCTCTGGCAGTAGGACTGACAGCTGGTTGCCAGAGAAGAAAAAAAATCAGGGAAGGAGGGTACAGTCAGGTGGTCAGAGTACAAGCTTAGCATGCATGAGGTCCTGGGTTCAATCCCCAGTATCTCCATTAAAATAACTAACTAAATAAGTAAACCTAATTACTCCCCCCACCAACCAAACAGAGAAGAAACAAATTACCCAAACACAGCATACAGTCATTGATTTTACTGATGAGCTTAAATCATTAAGAAACACATTCACATTCATAAGCAGCATCTTCTGTTCATGACAGCATCAGAAAAAGATTTTCATTAAAAATGACTAAAGTTTAAAAAGGTCTTTGGAACTTAGCTAAGTATCTATTATTTAGAAAATTCATTTATTTGTGGCAGACCCTGTTAGTTGCTAATCCAACATCCATTGCCCCTCTTCTTCCACTAACAATTCATTTATTTGGGAAGGCAATGTCCTCAACTAAATACTCATTTTTCCAGCTTCCTTTACCCAGGAGTTGCTTTGTGACACAGTTTTTGGCCAATGAGATACAAGCAGAAATCTGCTGGGCCTTTTTGGGAAGCTTTTGTTTTCTTGATGAAAGGGAACAGATATCCCTGGCTCTGCCTCTTTTCCCCATACTCCTGCCTCGAGTACAGATGTGATGGCTGGATCTGCAGCAATCATGTGGAACCATGAGACAACAAGAATGAAAGCAAAATTCAACTGTTAGGATGGTGGAACATAAGGTTAGAAAGATTCTGGATCCCTGAAATTGTTGATGAATACTGAACCAACACTGCTCTTTGTGATAACCTAATTTGGACTCCTTGAATACTTTTATATGCCCCTGAAAATCAAGTTTTCTGTTACTTAAAGCCTAATATATTACATATTGATCAATTAATATTACTCCTAAATATCATTTTTAGTATTAATAATTATTATAATGTTAGTACTAAGGCCCAGGCACTCTGTGAAGCTCTTTATACACTTTGTCTCTTGTACTCAGCACAGCAAGTTCATGACAGAGATCTTACAATCAAGCCCTCTTTATCAGGGCTGGAGGAAGACTCTGAGTCTTAATGAAGTTAAGCGACCTGCTGAGGGTCAACAGCTGTAAGTGGTGGAACAAGGATTCAACACAGGTCTGACCCCAGATGCTCTTACCCACACTGCCATATACTTAATATTATTCCCAGAGCAGAGTTGAAGACCACCATTTATAACTTTTGTACACATATTTATCTTCAGAATCTAGTTTTCTATGTCTTTTTGTCTCATAGTTTCCCAAACTTTCACTAAAAAGTGAGAATTACAGCATCATATTTTTAAAGGCCAGGCTGGTCTGACAGTTCTTGTGTTTTTCCACTGATTCCTAGGGTAAAAAAATCTTTTCATCGCTCCTTTTACCATTTCCCCATCTCAGCTCATTATTTTTCATTCTGAGGATCTTGCTGTCATACAATTTTTATACTCCAGTTAGTGAGTGTATATATCAGCCATCGATAGCTCAGTGATGGTAGACTTGTAATTACTACTATGAAATGTTAATGAATATTTTTAACGTTGAAACGCTGGGTGACTTCACAATGTATGTAGGTCTCACAATTGTGTTGATAACTGCCTAATCAACTCTCTGTTTTGTTCTGTTTTTTAAATTCTACCTTAACATGCTGCCCCCACCCCAAGCCAACCTCTATCATCTTATTTCATCAGTCTCTGCCTGGGACCTTCAGCTATGAAGGGCAAGAAGCTTAGCCTCTATAAGCCAAAAACGTTTGGTAATAAAAGCAGGAAAACATAATAGTATCCATCTCACAGGGTTTTGAGATCACATGAGATGACCCACAGACATGCCCGGCACACACACAGTAGCCACTTAACATGTGGTGGCTATTGTTAGGGTTACCGAGTCCAAGCTCGTACCGGTCGCTGCACAATAGGCCAATTAACTGAGAGATGAGTTGTTGTGGCAAGGAATAGTGACTTTATTTGGAAAGCCAGCAGACCGAGAAGATGGTGGACTAGTGTCCCAAAGAATCATCTTGCCTAGGTTTGGATACTAGGTTCTTTTACAGAGCAAAAGGAGGAAGGAGGTAAGGAGGTAAAGTAAAAAAGGTGATAAGTTGTTGCAAATATATCCTGGGTTTGGACTGGGGAAGGGGGAATATGTTCATTTCTTCCCTCCTGCAGCCATTCATAGGTGAGCCTGGTCAGGATGTTTCCTATGGGCTTAAACAAAGGTACTTCAGCTTTCAGCTCAGGCCTGGGATGCAGGGCTCCCGGAGACGGGACATGATGTATACTATCAGCTATAGGCACCATCCCTTTCGTGATTAACTTGTAGCAAAAACAGTAGAATACAAAGGTTAAAGTAAAAGAAACAGATCTAATATGGAGTCAGATTTGTTCCTCCCTACTACATGAGTGTTATCCGTGCTAACTAGACATGCCTCACGCTCTCTAAAGACTTTGCTTTGCTCTCCTCTGGACAATGAAATGAAACAGCCAGATTCTGCCAAAGCGAAATGATTCAAC